CACAGATTTGCTTTTAAAACTTATTCATTTTAGGAGAGGCGGTTACATAATATTTATGTAAAATATTGCCAAAATAAACCGAAATCAGATTATCTTGTTGGTCAGGAAGATTTTGAGCAGGTACTCAACTTTTGTTACGTAGTAGTTTATAGAGTTTTTATTTCATATTTTTCGCAACTTTTATTCAAGTTAGTTAAAGAGATCTACCAGTCATTGCGTTATAGTCTGTACTAAACTGTAGGCTCATTTATAATTTAACTTTTCACTGAGTAAAACGCATTAATGCAAAACCTTGTGGTCCACGTTTCTTTTTTATCCTTACTGATATCATTATTTGTGTCCGTTTCTCCAAATGAAAATGCCTATTCCTCTGTTATTTCAGTTCTTTGCTGAGACAAAACAAAAGTTAGGTCACAAAGTGGCATTGAGCGACCTCTTGATAAAGCCAGTACAGCGTATTATGAAATACCAGCTGCTTCTTAAAGATATCATGAAATATACAGAAAGAGCAGGCGATCGTATGGATGTGCTCAAAAGGGCTTTACAGGTAATCTTTTAAGCGTAAATTTTTTTTTCTTATTTATTCTTTCTTCATTAATTAAAATTTACTCTCTCTTAAGGTCATGCATGTTGTACCGAAAGCATGTGATGATATGATGCAGGTAGGGAGGTTGCAGAACTTTGATGGAAATCTCACAGCTCAAGGAAAGCTAATTTTCCAGGTTATCTTTCATCAATTTTTTGGCCAATTGAGCTAAAAAAATTTTTATAATTGTTTAACAGCTCTTTTTTATCGCTGAGTAGGCGTTTTACGGAGTATCCTTCTTGATTTAGGGGACACTGGCAATCTCAGATAACGCTCCATCTCAGCCTTTCAAAGGGAAAGATAGAAGGATTTTTTTGTTTGAGCAGTCTGCAATTATTGCTGATTGCATTATGCCGAAGAAGGAATTTGGTAATCCAACATATATTTTTCGCAATCAAATCATGGTGAATAAGGTAAGCGAGTGCTGTATGTTTTTGTTTAAAATTTACTTTCTCTGCGCTTTTTTCTGCTTCATTACTGTTTATGTTTTGAAGTGGGATTAGATTTGTTTGTACTTCACTTTAAAAAGTATTACTCGGAGTGTAAAGATTCATGAAATGTTTTAAATCTTACTTTCATGCAGTTATTTTTTTTTTCAGCGTTTACTTTGTTGAAATTTAGACTTGATTTGAAACGGTGCATTTGTTGTTTATTTTAGATGGTATTAGAGGCGAATCTGCCCGATGAGCCATTGCGTTTCATTATTCGCAGCAGTGACCCTGCTCAACCAAACGCATTCTTGTGCCAAACAAATACGCTAGAGGAAAAAGAGGAGTGGATTGAAAAGATTAACAGCCAGCTTGATCAGCAAAAACGGCTGTTGGCTGCTTTAGTTAATCCTAAAGGCTTTATCGATCAATCGTTATCAAAGGGAATGAATAAACTTTCCTTGTTAGTTTTGTCTTTTATGTTTTTTCTCACCGTTTTGAATGCCGGTTACTACTCTTTTTTTCCTCAATTTTTGCTTAAACTTCTTTAAGAACTAAGGTTGTAACTTTCTTCTAGGGAGGGATCAGGAGACAAGAAGCAGAAATCTCGTCTTATGGGGAAGGGGAAGGATGTTTCTAGTCCTTCTTCTGCACAGCAAAATTCATCATCATTACTTATTTCACCAAAGCACAGCCAATCAAGTAAGTCCTCAAAGTTATTTGGGTTTGGTAAAAAATCTTCGAATTCTACGAGTAATAAATCGCCATCACAAGCGATGGGTAAACTGAAGTAAAAGTTTATTGTATTTTTTCTTTTGCTAGATATTGCTGTATACCTAGTCTGAAATCTCTTACTTTTATCTTTTTTTGATGCTATCAGTTTTGCCTCTGTAAATTTTATTAACTTTTCTATAATTGTTCATCTAAAAGGCGTGTATCAGAAGTCTGCAAGGGTTTTAATGTGTAGTTCAAAAATTTAATAGAATTATTGCATTGCGCAGCCAGGTGTGGGACGTCTTGCCGTTCTAGGTTAGCCGTGTGCTCTAAGTTTGAATTTACCTGAGCTTTTTGTTTTAGGGAAGTATTGCAGTTTTTTAACGTTTTAACGTTAGAGTTTCTGCTTATTTTTAGTTTACTGGTACCTTACTATAATTGTTTTTTATCACACCTATTTTTATTACTGTTGCTATTACAACTGGATGATCCTGTTGTTTTGTCGCTGAAGGATTGCTGTTATGCTCGGTGTTCGTTTTTCAATCATTTTTGGATTTAATTTGTGCTCTTCGCAGATTTACTTTTCAATGGGTATGCAAAACTAAAGACTGTTTTCGTTCTTTAGTTTATTAAGTGAACTCTTGCATTCTTTTCTATAATCTTAATTAATTTGTTTTTGAAGATATAATGAATGAATAGTCGAAATATCCCATAATGTTCCATAATTTTTTTTTCCAATTTGTGAGGTTTAGTGTCTCAAAACTAGGATGTTTTAATTGTTTGTATTTTGTCAAAGCGTAAGTAATATTTTGAAACTTGTAAATAATGTTATCTTTACGATTCGTCGGGATTCTATTATTGGACGTAAATTTGAAACTTTGTTGTCAAAAGTTCTTAAAGTTCTGTTCCTTACAGTTGAAAGTTTTGAATTTTTTGTGCTATGTGTTATAAGCCTCTGTCTGCATATTTGACAGTTTGGCTTTTTTCTCATAATCATGTGTTTTTCTTTGATCTCCGTGCTTTCAGTTTTGCATACAATAAAATTCTGCTTTATTGTCTCTTTAGAGTAACTGCAATGGCAAGCTTTAGTC